TCTCTTATTTTGCCTTCGGTGTTAAAATACTTAAATCCCTTACCGATTAGAGGCTCACTTGGACGTTAGTCTCCTATTAGCCTTCGGCAATAGAAAGGTTAAATCCAAACTTCTTACCGATCAGAGGTTAACTCGGTAAAAAGGTTTTAAACTTAAAATCCTACCGATTCAAACAATCAACAAATACTTGCAGTTCAAAATTTGTTAGCCTTCGGCAACGGCAAAAGAGATATGAATAACCAAAAAATTAAAATGAAATTTAAAGCGGATGCCCTCGGCATCAAGGTGTTCAGGATAAGCTGCCTTATGGCAGTTACAGAGAGAAAATAAAAATTACAAAGCTACGAATAGATCAGGCGCTAGCCTCTTCACCGGCAGCCTCATCAGCAGCGGCCTCGTCATTGGCTCCTTTGGCAGCGGCAGGACCCTCGGCAGCAACGGCTTCCTCCAGAGCATCCTCCCTCTCATAATCTTCGATCATCTCCTTGGTAATGCCTTCCGGTAGAGAAGGAGGATCGGCAATGAAGTTGAGGTTTAGCTTATGCCCGCGGTTATACCGTTTAAAACGATAGAGGAGGTCCGCCATCTCTGAGCCTACTTCACTGTCCAGCAGGACAGTGAACTCTTCGGATGAACGCAAGGCTAGATTGGTAGCAAAGGGTTACACTCAGACCTATGGAGTGGATTATTGGGAGACCTTTGCTCTATTGGTAAAGCTCAATACTGTGCGTGTACTCTTGTCCTTGGGTGCTAATCGCGACTAGCCCTCATTGTAATTCGATATCAAAAATGTGTTTCTATAGGGTGACCTCAAGGGGGAGATTTACATGGATCTCCCTTATGGTATTCCTGTAACCTTTAAGGAGGGTGTTGTGTTTAAGCTGCGGAAGTCCTTATATGGATTGAAGCAGTCTCCAAGAGCATGGTTTAGGAGAGAGATGGAAAGAGAAAGACCAGACTAGAGCGAAGGAGGAGACAAGGGCGTAGGCAGCGTAGAGAGCATAAAAGATGCCATTATGCCATTGGGTGTTCTTGTCACATCCCGGGATCGGCTCTGCCGTAGCACGATATTGTCCGCTTTGGGCCCCCTTCTCTACCCTCACGATTTTATTTTTGAAAAACTCACAAGCAACTTCCCAGTGGGTCACCCATTTTAGGATTGCTCTAGCCCCAACTCGCTTACCTTCGGAGTTCCCAGGACTCCGAAGCCAGTGAGCTCCTAAAAGGCTTCGTGCTAGATGAAGGTGGACATGTACATATAAGACACATCACCCCTTCTCCGTTGGTCGATGTGGAATGTTACAATCCACCTCATTTAGGGGCCCAACGTCCTCGTCGACACACTCGCACCACAGGGTAAAATGGCTCTTGTACCAAATTGTCACATCCCAGGATCGGCTCCGCCATAGCATGATATTGTCAGCTTTGGGCCCCCTTCTCTGCCCTCACGGTTTTATTTTTGGGAACTCATTAGCAACTTCCCAGTAGGTCACCCATTCTGGGATTGCTCTAGCCCCAACTCACTTAACTTCGGAGTTCCTATGACTCTGAAACCAGTGAGCTCCCAAAAAGCCTCATGCTAGATGGAGGTGGGCATGCACATATAAGACACATCACCCCCTCTCCATTGGTCGATGTGGGATGTTACAATTCTCGTTGATCTCGTCCCGCCAATTGGAGAGGAAAGAGGCGAGCTCCATGGGCGCGAAGGTGAATGTGAATAGCATTCTCGTCATAATAGGGGGGAGCTCCTCTAAGGCCGAGAAGCTCAGTGATGGTCAAAATGTTGAGAAGCGGAGAAAAGAGCAGAGAAACTCTCTGCCTAACTCGTCAAAGCAAAAGCACACAGCTCACACAGAGACTGAGAGAGGAAGATGGATGGGGGTCTACCAAAACTACCCTTACCAGAAGGTCCAAGAGAGATCGAGATAGGGTGGGCTTTTCGGGGATTTGGAGGCCTTTTGTTTACACACACCATATAGCATAGACCATGCTTTTTAAGTTTATTTATTTATTTAATTATTTATTTCACTTTTTTTTTTAATTTAAAATATTTTAATTGAAATGGACGGTTTTAGCCCTCAAATTAATAGCCAAATTGACGAAATGACTCAATTGGAACGGATGAGAGAGTTGGATGACCTAATTGCCTAAAAAAAAGGTCGGAGACCCAATTGCAACTCGAGGTAAAATTCAGAGACCTCTATAGTTAAAAACCCTAAGAATAAAGTAAAGTATAAGTTAGTTTGTAAGGTTGTGCAAAGTGGAGATTGTAGGTTTAGCTCAATTGCATTTTACTTTTTTTACTTCGTTTTAAATTTATTTTAATAAGGAACACCTGAGGTTGCGGCCAATATTTCGAGAGTAGAGGGTAGCTATGTATGGGACCAAGTGTGGCATAAGTGAATTTTTGATATTCTTGATTGTGATTTAAACCTTACTTTTCCACTTTAATAAAGCATCTGTCTTTCATTGGCGAAAAAAAAATTATTTTAATAAAGGTGTTAACCCTTAGACTGCAGGTCACTTAGCATGGTGTCACACATGGTTGTTGGCGACCGGGCAGTGGTGACTGGCTGGCAGTGGTAGATCTGGCATATCCTAATTCCTTAAGATTTTCTTGGGTTAAAGTTAAATTTTCTTAAATTAAATTAGGACATGTGTCATTCGAATAAATAGGGGACGTGGAGGGTATAGACAAATTGGGTAATACAATTACTTATTGACTTAGAACACTGCCTGCCGTATGAAATACAGCAATATATATTTCATCACATTCATGTTGCATGCAAATCACAAACGTTCTCCCTTTCTTATTTTCCTCGATGAAAAATCCCCCTTGATTATTTCTACCAAGGATGGGTCCAATAAAAGCTAACAAAAGTCAAAGATTGCCACACATATGCAAAAAAAACAAAAAAATTCACTTTCTTATTGTATATATGGTATATATCTGACAACATCGATTGCTACTTTTGATTTGACTTTTGTACATACACACAAACTATTCATTTGTGTCAAATGTATTTACGTTAAATAAAAAAATTATTAGGGTTGCCAACCACCGCCACCTCTTACGGATCCCTTTACCATCCAAATCAGCGCCACTTCGCCTCTCTCTCTCTCTTTAAATTAAAATTTTCAACCAAACACTCACAAATAAATACAAGATTAGATTTAAGAATTGGGTATAAATGAAAATTATGCAAATACACAATTATTTCACTCAAATTAAAACTATCAACATCTTAATTCTTACTTACCATCTTTCAATACAGTCAAAGAAAAATCGATTTGTCTTACAATTGGAACAGTGAACAAGTACAAACTTGTTAGGCTTGTCCTACAAAACGCAAACTTTTCATTTTTGTTCATTTCACAAAGAACGTAGTCGGCCATCCATAAGAATTTAGAACAACACCAACAGAGAGAGAGAGAGAGAGAGAGAGAGAGAGAGAGAGAGAGATCACCTCTTTCAATTTACAATTGTTCATGGGGAAGGCAAAAGGAGGAGAAGATAATTTTTTTTCCTTTTAAAATGAGGAGTCGATAAATAGAATAATTTTTTTTTTTTCAAAAGTATATAAAACCTGAAGGCACAAAAAAGTTCTTCGTATCTTATGGAAAACACAATTAATCATGCTTTTAAACTATAATAATTACTCTCACTGACAGTGAGGTGACAAGATGGAAGTTGATATTAACATTGGACACAAAGGTCGTGCCCAAATTTCAATAGGCACAAATAAATTTGTTCTTAGACATACATTTATTGTGTTTTTTTTGTAAAAGACATCTTTAAGTATTTTTTGTGCTAAATGAAATTGAAAAGGCATAAACCCTTCTTTCGTGCTCTTTGAAATGTGCCTTTAGAGCAGTTTTGTAGTAGTGAGATAAGCATAAAGTAAAGTATAAGTTGGTTTGTAAGTTTGTGCAAAATGGAGATCGTAGGTTTAGCTCAATTGTATTTTACTTTTTTTTAATTTTTTTTAAATTTATTTTAATAAGGCAGCGCATGAGGTTGTGGCTAATGTTTCAAGCACTGTAGAATCCAAGAATTTTTTAGCGGAAGAACAATTTTTAAAGGCACAAGACTTGACCGATGAATAAATTTTTATAAAGATTTGAAATTCTCTCAGCAACAAAACAAAGATTTGGTGTGGTGGGGACGTAAAAAGGAAAGGATATGAATATGATGTTTTATAAAGACTTTTTTTCATTTACCTAACATGTTTTGTAAAGACTTGGATGAAGTTCTCTCCAAAAATACAAACAAAAAAAAAACCTTTCAATTCAGTTCAACTGGAGTGAACTTGGACTTTTGTATTAAATTATTAAAAATAGTATATAATACTTATTATGACCACGTGCAAATCTGAGGGCACTTTGGCAGCAGGTTCCGAGGAATTAGGCTTCATCAAATTTTTATTATTTTTTTCCTTGGTCCAAAACGACATCGTTTTAGTCAGGAACTTTAAAATACAAATTAAAATTATATGCGTTGTGCTTGTGCTGCGCGCAGCAGCCCCGGAACACAGCAAACAAAAAGGAGTTTCGCTGAGGCATTTCCTTGAGCAGTTTGTGGGCACTTTCATCGCAGAGCAGAGGTGCATATTCTGCCACCTCCAAAGCGTTTTCCAGTAAGAGGAGGTGTAGGGTTGGCAAAAAATAAATAAAAAAAATAAATAAAGGTGTTAACCCTTAAACTGCAGGTCATTTAGCATGGTGACACACATGGTTATCGGCTAGGGGCAGTGGTAGATCTGGCATATCCTAATTACTTAAGATTTTCTTGAGTTAAATTTTCTTAAATTAAAGTAGGACATGTGTCATTCGAATAAATAGGGGACGTGGAGTGCATAGACAAATTGGGTAATACAAGTAGTTAATAAGATTGTAAAGTATTCATTACTCATTGACTTAGAGGACTGCCTGCCTTATGAAATACAGCAATATATATTTCACTCAATTCATGTTGCATGCAAATCACAAACGTTCTCCCTGTCTTATTTTTCTCAATGAAAAATTCCCCCCCTTGATTATTTCTACCAAAGATGGTTCTAATAAAACCTAATAAAAGTCAAAGATTGCCACACACGCAAAAAAAAAAATAATAATAAAAGAAAATTCAATTTCTAGAGATCTTTCTCTCATTTACAGTCTAGGCATGTGCAACGCCAAAACTCTTGTGGAAATCTACCATTCTTTTTTGGGTCATGTAGTCAATTTCCTGGATTCTAAGAAAGTCTTGGTGTTCATGTTATGAGAAGAAACAAAGCGAAGGAAAGTGGCGAAGTCTGTGTCCTTATAGCGTAGAGGGTTGGCTTGGTCAATGAGTTTTGGCGATGGTCGAACCATGCTGTTGAATGGCAGGCTGTGCAATGAGGCCACAGAGATGCGAGACTTGCAGGAGTTGACAAGAACCCTGTGGAGCACGCTCTTGTATCTCCCATTGCTGAATATCTGTCCAATAGTTTTACCACACGTAAAAGTCAAAATTTCATATTATATATGATTAACGTTGTTTGTAAACCGTTGAATCTAAAAAGTTAGGTCTTGTTTTTTCAATTCTTTTTAAGGCATTCTCATCCATCACATTGGAGACATTGTATCTTGCAAATTAAAGTAGGTGGCATGGGGAATATAAGTTTTAAAATCGAAAAAATACCTCGAATACTATGTTAGACAATCACTAAATTCAAAAAAGCTTAAGTTTGAGGAAATAGTCAGCATAAATATGTATCAAACCAAGAAATAACTTGAGTTTGTGATACATGATTAGGCCTTCGGTTTCTGCATTTTGAGTTTAGGGTTTTGTTATTAAAAATTGTATTTTCGTTGAAAAAATAATACAATATATATATCAGCATATCACGTCTTCATGTTATTCTTGTTTATTCCTTTTAAAATAAAACATTATTGTAAAATGAGAAAAGTTGCACGTTCCACATCTATTGGTTAAATGTGAGATAACTATGTCACTATCATATGAGTCATTAATTGTTCACATAAGTGGATCTCATCATCACCTTTCTGAGAGATGTGGTTGAGTGTGTGGATACCAGCTTTGTAAATGAGATCTATATGAATTAGAATGTTATCATTCTATGTGCGGAATAAAATAAATTAAAAATAATATTTCTTTACTCTTCCAAAAATATCAGTGTATAGCTAGCTTCTAAGTTTTATATAATGATTTGATGATGATTAGTATGACTTAATTAGGAAATCTTATTGAGATCTATGCAAGGATATAATGGTTAATTTGGTTACCAACCTCAAGATGATCACCAACATTGACAACGAATGAATTTGGAAGTGGTTCCACAGTTACCCATCTACCCTCATGTTGTATTTGAAGGCCCTCGACTTCATCTTGAAGGAGAAGAGTGAGGAGGCCATAATCGGAATGGGGTGGCAAGCCTAGTGTTAAATCTGGCTCAGGGCATGCAGGGTAGCAATTCGCCACAATGAGTTGGCTTCCATCTTCAAATTCCTCTATGCTTCTGCTTTTTCTTTCAGCACCTTCTGTTGTTTCCTCCAATCCTAGGCTTTCCAAGATGGCCTCCATTAGCATTAGATACAAAAAATTAGTGCTCTTCGAGTAGTTCACGACTGCCTCCCTATATATATGCATGGTGGCACAATACATAAATTGTGAATTAGAAGTGGATTAATATATTAATGTGATCGCATTCAAATATTAAGCACTGCAGAGAGAGAGAGAGAGAGAGAGAGAGAGAGAGAGAGAGAGAGAGAGAGAGAGAGAGAGAGACAGAGTGAGGGGGAGGGAGGGCAGA